TGAAAAAATATGTCCTGCTTGAATTCGTCCATATAATGACAGTGAATGGTGACCTTCTTCAAGAATGCAAAAGTATCAGAAAGTAATCTCATGCGATTTGAGCTGTATTCTCCAATGGCTATGTTTACTAACAGATTGCACCAGCACAATTCCTCTTTTGGCATTCAAAAACTACTCTCAGAATTTACTAAAGACACACAGTGAAGAATTAGAGATGAAAAGGTGTGGATACATTTATTTTTGTGGCTTGCCTCATGTATTTGTAGGAGTTTACCTTTCAGACAATATTTATGGGAGGAAAGTTTTTAATTCAATTTTGCAATGTGATAACTAAGGTTTCTGAAAGTCAATTTACTATTTGTGCCTTTACTTAAAGGTGCACTAAACAATTTTTGAGAAACACCTAGAGTATAATAAAGAGTTGATGTCTCTTTATAATAGCTGAAGCTAAGCGAAATAATGCTTTGGGAAAAGTAGCGGGAGTTCGGAGTTGTGGCAAGAGGAACACTTCTTCGTTCTCTCCATCATGGAATGGGAGTTCTCTCCATCAAGACTTTGCCTATCTGCCCGTCTCTTTGACGTTGTGTGGAAATACTGACACTAGGGTTCCCAATACTAAACGCCACAATTCACTGAACCACTTAGTGGTGCAGATGCTGGCAAGCTTTGTGTACCAAGTAACAAGTTCACTCCAACCCACTCACAACCTTGTTATCATGTCGTAGAGGGGAAAGGCACTGAACGCCAAGGACTACAACCTGCATAGACGTTGGAACAGGGGGGGCGGGAGGGGCGGCCGCCCCCCCTCCTACGGCCGCCCCCTAAATTCACCTAAGCACGGGCGTCAGTTTTAAATTTGCTGGGCACAGAGACACATTCGGAAGTGCTGGGTACAAACTTGTCAAACTGTGCAGCCTTTCTATTCAACCCATAAATAAATACGTCGATCCGCCAGACTTCATTTGACCGTTTTAATGGTCTAGTGGTAGCTCTTTTGCCCAGAGTGCCAGAGGTTACGGGTTCTAATCCGCCCTAGGTACAGTTTTTTTCTCTCTCATCAAAACAGAATATGTCCATCTGTGGTTACAGTCAATATCAAGCATAGGACACATTTATTTTGTGATTTTACCGGAATGAATAGAGTCTCCGACGTAAAGGCGATTAAAGTGCGCGTCCGAGTGAAGACTGCGCGCCACAGAGAACATAGCCTACAACTGACAGCAGCGGCAACAAGCGTTCCTCTTGATTTCAAAAACAAAACATTTTAGCGCTAGATCTCTTATTTAAATGAACTAAATAAATGCTCTGCTTAACAGGATATGTTTTATTCATGTTTAAAACGTTTTATTTTCCGATATATGGTGACTCAAGCACTGAGGGATCAAGGAGCGGTCCATCAGTAGAGTCACCATATCGGAAAACATTTGGAATGGGTCAGACATAGCCCACAGTAATTCTGACTTATTATGTTTTTTAAAAGAATTTCGTTTTTATAAATTGTATTTCATTTTAATCAATCGTTTTAATCAACAAGTTGACTGATAAATTCTCAGAAAATGGATTTAATACCAATATTTTGAAACGGTGCGTAATTCCGTCAACCCCCCCCACCCCCCCGTTACCGGGAATCCCACCCCCCCTCTCACAAAATAGTTCCAACGTCCCTGACAACCTGGTAGTCGTCTGAGTTCTCCTGTTGGTACCCAAAAGTCAAGATGAAACCAGTTCCATGAGGAGATTGTAGAATCTCACAAAGGTATTGGGTGTTGCTCAATCCGCAGCCCTGCAGATGTCTGCTAACAAGGCATCATTCACCAGAGCCGAACAGGCTGCGATGCCCCTAGTTTAGTAAGCCTTCACTCCCACGTGATACAGTAAGACGTGACCCTGTTAAAGCCAAGAGAATGGCATCCACAATCCTGTGTCCCATCCAACCTCCAAAGCAGACTAAGAACTGTTCAAATCATCTGAAACTCTGTGTGCGATCCAGAAATACGCAAAATGCTCTCTTGGCGCAACAGAGACAAGGCTGGGTCTCCCTTATCAGGAAGGGATTGCTTGCAGGTTCACCACATGAAAGGGTTTGGGTCTCAGGACAATTTGAGAGTCTGCCGCCCCAAACTCTTGGCTCATTTCATTAACTGAAAGGTCTTGTAAGTCCCCCACCCTCGTGACAGTAAAAGCTCAAATGGATCTCTCTGTTGGGCCTGTAAGACCACAGAGATATCCCAAGAGGGGATGAGGCACGCTCTCTGAGGATTTAACCTCCGTGCATATCTCAGGTCCGGACCAACACAGGTTTACCCTGGATCTTAGGTCAAAATCTCCTCAAGGCTATCAATTCAGCCAACAACTTGAAGCAGGCCAGGCGATGGCTGGGCAGCCGGAGAAGGAGGCAAAATGGGTTTAATCGGCTCCATCTGTTTCTTGACTGCCAATAATGGTTGTGCAAAGTCTTTGAAAGTGCCCCTGAATAGGCCACCTTGTGAGAGCGCACTTTCTATACATCCCGTATTTCCATCAGGTTAAGCAATAAGTAGTGCTCCTGGACCACAAGTGTGGACATTGCCCAAACCATAACCTGCAGTCTGTGACCTTCGTAGCACGTAGAGCAAAGTCAGTCACAGAATGCAGTTCCTGCTTCATCTCTGGATTGAGAGAGATGACCCATCTCTCAATACTTTGGCTTGGTAAACTTGCAAGATTGTCATAGCGCGAAGGGCAGAGGCAGTGAGAGACGAGGTAAACTTAAATCATGTTTATACCACATTATATATTTTAAGTTTACCTCGCAATCCTCGCAAACCGCAATCGCCCATTCCACATGAGGAAACTCAGAGTACCCTTGCACCACCCCACCATCTAAGGTGGTGAGGATGCAGGATCCAGTGTTCCATGTTTTCTTGCAAAGCCAAACTTATCCAGAAACTCAAATGGGAAGATGTGTAGAGAACTGGGAAGTCCACAGGAATTCACTCGGTGGCAGCACTCCCATTTCATCCCCTTACCCAGAGATAGAAGGACTAGGACAGGAAGCAGCTGAGGTGACTCTTGGTCTTTTGAAAAAGATTGCAAGTGCTCATGATACTGTTTTCAAATTACATTCATTCTGTTTTTCAATGAAAAAATCAAATAATCTATAAATCTAGGCATATTTAAAGATCGATCTAAGACAGAAGTTGCCAAGAGCAGTCTGATCTGGCCTGCAGCTGCTGTGTGTTGAGCTACAGTATGTTGTTCCATGCGCTAACTGGTGGATATTGTGTGAAGCACAACAAATGTATTTAAATTCTGAAAGAGTGAATTGTAAAAAATCTCCCATTTTTGATGGCCACATATCGCTCTTTAGTGTTCCCGCTACCATTGTTTTGGTAGGGGAAACCGCCCCCCTGAAAGAATGACAAAAATATATTGCAAAAAAATAATAAAAAATCGGACGTGCAAGCTCCATGTACGTAGTAACATCAGCAGCTGTGATTTCAGCAGAAAACGCAGATGGAATCCAGTCATAAAAACGGAATTTACTGTAGGTTGTTCAGTTTATTTGAAATCAAATCGCGATATAGACTAGAGTGTGTGAATATAAAAAAGGTATTAATTTATTAATATTAATTTTAACATTAAAGCTCATTGTGCAGCATGTTGTTTGACAAGAAGTTGTTTGACAAAAAATTGTAAAAGAAATTAAATCAATGTTCTTCATTTAAACACAACACCGAAAAAAAAAAACATAGAATTTTTTTTTTTAAATTGTTGAATAAGTTTTATAATTGTATACGTTTCATGATTTCAATTTATTAGACATGCTTTCTGATTACTAAAATTTTACACTGCGACACTAGGGGTTTTGGGGGGGTCTACCGATCCCCCTTGAAAAAAATCCTAGGGGAAACACTGCCAACAAGCAGATGCACAAATCCAATTAAAAGTGGTGAGCATTATATATTCTACCAATGTTGGCACTCTCTCCCATTGTGATCTTTAATTCTGAAAATGTTATGCTGATGATAAGTAAAATGCAGAACATAACCTCTGTTGCTTTCAGCCTTTGTGAAGTGACCTACTTTAAAAAATGTTGTGTATAGCACGGCAATTGAAGATCCATTTTGCATAGACTGATTTAACAGTAAATGACAGCAATCAGATCTCTCTAAACACACGAAACCACTACATGTGAATACTCGTGTAAACAATGACTTGTACATCTAAGTGCATGAGACAGGGGGAAGTTAGGGGGGCAGGGAGGCCTTTCACTGCTGTTATATGGACAAGCGTGAGCAGAATTATTGTGTTGCAGAAAAAAAGGTTATAGCGCTTTACATGATTCAATAATGATTGAATGAATTCTTTGGTCGGGGTTTGCTATCTCTTAAAGATGCGCTAAGGACTCAACACAAATGAACTAAAGGAAAAAGATTGTGTTTCAAAATGCCATGGAAACTTTTTTTTTTTTTTTTTGCTAAAAAAATAACTGCCTATTTATGTTTATATATACATATTAGTTCTGCTTATATCATATAGTTAGAAAAATGAAATATATTTTGAATTGCTTAGAATCATGTATGACTGTAGTTCGTACTTATTGATTTGGTAAATTCTGCTAAAATACCATAGTTAATGCATAGTACTATTTGGACACATGATGACCTACTGTAGACGCCAGATGGTTACAAAAAGGTGGCTCAGAAAATTGAAACAGAATAACAGAATAAAACTTTGTTTGCAGATTCCACTTGGTTTGATATTTTTTATACAATTCACTTGTATATATATAAATTAGAAGTGACATTTTCTTAAAATAGTAACTGTATTAACTATGGTATTTAGTTGGAAACTGTGGCTAGTCACCATGGTACATGTTAAGGGCTGTATGCATGATTCATCATCGCTGTGCATTGATTATTTTGATTATGCTTTGAACATTGACACTTTCAATTGGCTACATTTTTGTCATTTCTCAAACATCTCCTGTCTCTGTCTTTTGACTTTGTGCTGAGCAGGTTTGAGCCAGAGCAGGTGTGTCTCCCCATCGGACATCTCGCCTCATGGACCCTTTCTGCTCGCTGATGACACACAACAATCAGATGTAGTCGAATTCCATGTTTCCAAATCAGGACAATCTCCATTCTGGCAAAACTTTAATAAGTTCGCATCGTTAAAAAATGGGAAAAAATAGTTCACTCTGTCTATGTGCTCCCAGCAATGAAGTTCAAGTGTATTTTCTGACCACGAATCTCCATCTGGAGATAACTAACTCACTGACTGACAATCATGACCCTGATATGATCAAACCTGTCAAGCGCCCAAACAAAGATGTACTGTATGCTGTTTCATTCACCATTATTGTATATTGACCTCTTAAACTTCGCCTTGTGGTATTTTGGAGATGAAATTCAGTAGAATTGGCCAGCATACGGTGCTCTGTGTCCTACTGTCAATGACGGCCATGAAATTGCTATTTTTTTCAAAGCTTTGTGAATCAGACCTCTCTGTCTGCAGTTTAACATTGTCATGAGGATACTTCTGTGTACTTTACAGTACCATTCATAAGACTGTAAGTATTACACACAGTTAACAACCAAATCGCCTAAACAGGGTATTGCGTTCTAATTTACAAATGTGATTTTGTCAATCTGAGGAACACCGAGTTTGACAACACAATTATTCTTAGTATTAGTTAACAAGCATTATTCCAGATTTGTGAAAGTGTCACAATCTTGTATCATGCTCTCCTCGAATCTCACTTGTTGTGTGATATTGACTGAACTCATTTCATATGATAAATAGATGTTTTTGTATGTCTATAAAAGGTAAAGTAGATTTTGGAATTTGCCTCCAACGGGGGTTATTTTTGATTGTATGAAATAAGTACTCTGTAGTAAGCACACTGAAACAATTCATATGCATTGTATTTTAGTTTTTTATTTGTTGTTGTTATTGTTGTTGTTGTTAATTTGTAATAGCTACTCTGAATACTATTTATTATAGTTAATGGCAGATATTGATACATTGTTTTTATGCATACAGTAATGTGCAGAAGTCTTGGGTCATGAATATATATATATATATATATATATATATATATATATATATATATACTATTTACCATTCAAAAATAAAGGTCATTTATTAACTTTATGGATATGTTATGTTTTCTTTGTCTAATGCCATGTGATAAGCATAGACATATGGCCGAAGGTTTGTGTACAGTCTACTGTGCATAGAGTACACTACACATGTATTAATGTATGCTTATGAGAAGAAACTTCATGACACAGCACAGGAACATATAGCATATAGCACTGGACAACTAGTGCACTGAAACCTTCAATACTGAGGAGACCCAGTAGACTGGCTTACTCAATATGTCTGAATGTTGGTATGTGATTTAGCAATCAAGAAAATGGTGAAAATCGGCTTATCCCTTTCTGATGAAATGCAGCGCATTAAATTCCACAACCTTTAGAAAGCAGTTTTCTTGCTTTGAATTAAAGCTTTTCAAACGTGATCTGATCAGACAACAGTCCATTTAATTTTGTTTGTTGAGAATGTGTCTTACAACCTTTTATGGATTGATTGCAATGTATTTACTTCACATTTATGTCTGTTACTGTACATGAAGACAACTGATGCGATGAAATGAAATATTTGTTCAGCATCTTTTCTGGGTTTTTCATCAGGTTTAAAGTCTAACGTTCAAGAAGAAACCCTACTGAAATTTTAAAATAGCCTGCATCCACATTCATTTATTGGTAATTGGTGAATTAATAGGCTACATTTGACACAATGCGAAGTAGACAATGTAACCAGAAAATGTGGGATATGAAAATTGGTTCGTATATGTGCTCATATCTATACTTAGAGACACCTAAACAGTTATGTGATTAAATCATAACTATATAACATATGGGTGTTCAGTAATAATGCACTTTCTTATTTACTTATGAATGTTTAGTATGACTTTACATATTGTCAGCTGTAATGACGTGATATGTTTTAAAGTAAAGAATGAAAAATAAGTACTTTCTATTCCGTTTTAATTTTAATGACTCAACCAATGTAAATGACTACTGTCACTTTCAGTTATAGGTTTAGATTCATTTTCAAGGAATTTAAGTTTGCTTCTCTTTTATTTCCTGCTTCCTTTGTTCCATGTTCCCGTTTGTCATTGGTTACCTTGTTTATTTATTATTAATTAGATCACACTTGTATAATCTCGTTGGATTACTTTTTTTGTTTTGTTTTATTAAAGAAAAAGATATTGTTTGAACTAACTTCTTCGTCGTCATCCTTTGCTAACCTATGACAAAACACCAGAACCATGAGAAATAATTTGGAGATTGCAGCAATTAATATAGATCCAGAAGGAACATTTCATGGGCCAATATCTGGAGGACTATGTGGAGGAGTTAACATCTGATTGACCTCCCATTATGGAAGGTTTCAGGTGCGGGCAGGACGATGAGATTCGCTTACTGGTGCCAAAGGGTGATACCTGCTGGACCTTAGAAGAGCACATCAACTTCGTTCCGTGGGTGGATTGGTCCTCAGTTACAGTAGGCGAAACTTTGAAGGGTACCATCTCCATCATCCAGCCCCACGTCGCTCCCGTCACCACACCAGATCCCGATCCCAGCCAGCCACCTCCGATGCCGTGTAGGAAAGGATGCCAGAGCCCACCGCAGACAGAGAGCCCAAGCCTGCCAGGATGAAGGAGTCAGAGCAAGGAACTGAGCCCACCATCGCTCCAGAGAATGAGTCCCCCACCATTAAAAAGAGGAACCACTCAGCAGTAGGGAATCAGGTGTGTCTCACAGGCAGTAAAAAAAAGGGATGCCAGTCGACACTGGGAGCATTACTTTAATTTTGATCCAAACCTAATTGCTGAGATTCAGAAACTCCTCCACATATATTTCTATGGGGCAATCATTCAGGTCGATGGGCAGCAACTGGTCTTCATGTTGGAGAGTACCTCCAGCTGGGCTTTGGTCTGGTCTTCTGTCAGGAATGCAACACACAAAGACAGATGAGGAACCCATTTGTGAGAATTATTTTGAATTCAGTCAGGTAAACAGGTAAGTGAACAGCAGGTTAAAACATAGCTTACACTGTGAAGATACATTGAAGATAAGCATTAAGGGGGGGGGGGAGGATGGTCTCGAAGAATGATGGAATGATGATCACTACAAATGGAAAGTAGTGAGGTCTGTCTTTTCCTAATGCCGAGTTGAGACTGCACGATTTTAGCTATCATTTTGGCTCACCGACAGGTTTTGAGAAATCGCCGACAAATGCCCAAAATCACAGGAAAATCGTTGCTCGTTCAAGCAAGTGACAATCACGCAGTGTGAATGAGCAAAGACACTATCTGAGAGAATCGCCGACGAGTCACCGATGGCCGTGAGATATTTAGCATGCTAAATATCTGGACCTGTCGGCGATTCAAAATCCTGCTGTGTGAAAAGTGTTCTGACTGAAAACTACATCAGCGATTACTGACAGCCAATGAGAGAGCAAAATACAGAGCAGCGGGGAGTTCGGGGAGGAGTTATAGATCACATATCAACAAGCATGGCATGGTTTCAGAAAAAGGCAAGAAGTCTAAGAAGGTAAGAAGTCTCTGTCTACTTGGATCCAAGAAATGGAAAAAAAATTAGTGGAAATTTGGCAGGAGAACCCGTGTCTATTTGACGTTTCATCTGAGCTGCACCACAACCGGGTTGAAAAAGAAACAGTCTCACGTGAGAACTCCGGTCTTGCCCACGTTGTTTCCTTGTCACATCTCGCTCGTGTTTGTTGTGAAATGTACATACAGAGTTGTCAGCGATTCTTCCTTTTGTAAAGTCATGCAGTGTGAAACCTTAAAACCTTCTGTCGCCGATCCATCGTGCAGTGTGAACACAGCAGCAACTGAATGCTGGCCAAGATAGTCATGCAGTGTGAAAAGAACAGCGACCCGACAATGAAAATCGTGCAGTCTGAACTCGGCATTAGGGAGATTAGACTATAACTCTGTGTGTGTGGTGTGATTCTTTTTTAAGTATTTTTATTAGAATTTTACATTAAAAATAAGCAAAAGAAAACGAAATACATTTAGAAAATATATACAACTCAATGATTTCCATTACACGAGAGAAGATGTTAAAACTTCATGCTGATTTATATTTGGCTTTCGCCAAGGTAAGCTAAAACGTAGCTTTACAGTAAACTATGCTTCTCCATCCATTTACGCTTCTTTCCATATGGTGGTGTGACTCCCCTTCTGTCCGGCGTTAACGGCTGCAGTGTACTTGCACACACGACGACTGCAACTACAGTGTGGTCTCCCTAGTGGACCACAACAACAACCGTCTGGATTGAGCCGAGTAGGGGACATCTCTAGGGTCTTCAAGTGGGCACCTTCCGTCCTCAGTGTTTCGTTGACTAGCCTACGACACCTCAAGAGGGCTCGACAGTGACCCTGGCGTCCCAGAGTCACTCCAATCCGTCCCCCACTCGACTCAGCCCAGCTTACTGACCTCTGCTGAGACCTAACCATAATCTCGCGCAACCCAACCATACGCGCCAACCCATTTGATAAAGGCTGTCGAGCCCCACTGGTGCGTTATAAAGCAGTTTCAGTGGCAAACGTTTCCGTATGGCATACCACCTACCGCAAACCACAATATCTGGCCAACCACCGTCATTTAAACAATATACACAGGAACGTAATGACTGTAATTTCAGTGCAACCTATACAAACAGACTCTTCAAGAATTCTACGAAACCGTAGCGTGGCGGCCTGTACATAGCCAGCTAGAATCTTTCCGTCTCAACCACAGCCAGTTACTGCTCCTTTCTGCTGCTTCAGATAAGTTCTTTAGTATGCGACGCAACTCTTGGCCACTGAATCCGACGTCTCTGAGGAACCGGGTTGTAGAGTGTGCCACAAAACCTCGACAACCCACTTCCACTGGATAAACTTGGACTCTCCATCCTCGCTGCTTTGCCTCAGTGGCCAGATGAGCATACCGCAATTTCTTCCTCTCATATGCTTCATCTACCGCATCCTCCCATGGCACTGTTAGCTCTATCAGCTGAACAATGCGTGCTGATCCAGACCACAAAACAATATCTGGTCATAAGTTAGTGGTAGCAATCTCAGGTGGAAAAATAAGCTGTTGATCAAGATCAGCCAGCATCTTCCAGTCCCTAGCAGTTTCCAGTTGTCCTGGGCGAGAAATGCTGTTAACACCTTTTCTTGGTGGTTGCTCGTCTGGGCGGAGGAATATTGTCTTCTGCGTGTAATGTTTTGCAGGCGGCAACTTATTGGTCATACTATGCCAACGCATTCTCACCCCAAGGCGTCACCTTTGACCATGCTTCAATATTTGACGTTTTAGGCGCCCTTTAGCGTCACTTACATGACGCGATCCTACGGCGTCATCTAACTGACGCTAAAGGAAAGCGTCAGTTAGAGGACGTGGTTAGGTTTAGGTGTGGGGTGGGGGTAGGGTACACGCTATCCTAGGGCGTCATTTAACTGACGCTAAAGGGCGCCTAAAGCGTCAGATATTGAAGCATGTCCAAATGCTTCCCAAGGTGTCAGTTTAGGTGAGAATGGGCTGACTATGCTTGCCCTCCAATGCTAAAGCCAAACATCGCATTACATGGTCATGGCGCCAAGTAAACCGACCCTGGCTAAGAGCCACCTTACATCCTGTCAGAATGTGCCTTAATGTGGCAGGTGATGAACACATATGACAAGAGGGATCCTCTCCTACTCAGAGGTTTAGGTTCTGCGGTGATGGGAGGACATCATATGTTGACCTTATAAGGAAACTGATCCTACTCTCTTCCATTGACCAAAGGACTTGCCAGCCCAACGTGCATTATTCCACACTCTCCCATCTCATCCACTCTCCCTGCTTGGCCTGGGAAATGGCCTTTATACACCTCACTCTCTCCTCCTGCTTTTGCACCTAGTTGACTACCAGCTTCCTCCTTTGAGCTGGACCTGCCTTGTGCCATTTCGGAGGAGCTACACTAAGCCCAAGACCCCCTCTTCCATGCTGTACCTGTCCCACAATATCCCCAATTTGAAAGGCATCCTTTGCCTCTACTACAGATTTCTCTGCTGACCACTTCCTACCAGTTTT